ATTTGAGTTTCCAAAATTTAGATTGGGGGGAAAAGTTTTATAGAGCTGAGGCTCTAAACAATCAACTTAAATCCTACCCCAAAAATTTTACTTGAAGAGGTTGTTTTGATGATCAGATATCCTTAAATTGATCATCTCGACATCAAGGTGCATGGACATGAGAAAATAATGGATTTCAAGTTTTGAAAATAGTATATATTGTAATGCATTTTTAAACCGTCAATTTTCAAGATTTTCAAGTTTTTATTGATCTGTCGATTTGCACCATTTTTAAAGCTTTAAATTTTATAAATAAAGATGAAAATATATTTTAAGGCTATCACAAAGATTTTCAATATCTAAACCATATTTTTTGATACTATTTGACTGTAGGCTGTAATTTGATTGTTTAGAGCTTAAGCACTATACAAACCGCACCATAAAAAAAAATGGTCCGATTAATCTTGACCGAACGTGAAATATGATAGCTGAGGTGTCTGACAAAGGTTTGCCTTTAGCCTCCTCTCTCACTTTATCACTCTTTATGAGCGCTTCATCTGCCCTCGTCTGATTATTTTACTCATTTGACCAGTAAACCCTTTTGCTCTCTACATGTACTTCTCCCTCTTCACTCTCCTGTGTTTCTCTCACCCTCTTCTGCTCAATCGCTTCTCCATTTTCTCTTTCGACGGTTTGTTTCTGGTTTGTACGGTGGGCAACGCTGGTTGCCCTCAGAGTTTGTAGCCGAGGATGCTCTCTGGTAAGAGAACAAGAGATTTCCTTCCCCGCGAGTTTCCCTATGGTGATGGACCCTATCGGGTCGATCTTGACTCTATCCTGAGCTCTCCTGTCGAGCCTGAGAGTGATGAAGAGGACTATCTATCAGGTTTAGCTCAGAGGATGGCTGGTTCTGTTCTCGATGATGATGAAAAGGTGCATATGGAGCAGTTTTCATGGGTTGGAGATGGAGGGTTTGGAAATCAGAAGGTTCTATTTTAGAGAGAGAACTTGTGCTCGACCATGCTTACTCTTTTGGGTCTGGTTTTTCTTTCAAATGGGTTCTCTGAATCTTTCAGTTTAAGAAATTATTAGTTTGATTTTGTAAGTTTTTGGTCATGAGTTATTCTCGTGGGTTCAATGAAAGATTTTTTTGGGTTGATTTCTGGTTTTACACAGCTATTTTCATGGGAGTTGCAGGTATAAATGATCGTTCCAAGGTGAGTCTCTCTTTGAATCTTGATCATGTACGCATCATGGTAGATTGTATGCACAATGTTTTCTTCCATAGCAATATTTTCCAGGAATCATTATGTGACCTCTTTTCTCAATTGCAATTGAAATCTCTCTCTCTCTCTCTCTCTATGTCTCTCGTTCTTTCCCTCTGATTAGTGGTAAACTTATGCATCAGGACGTAGGGTTAACGAAAACTATCTCATAAATTAATCATCTTTAAGAATTTGTACCATAATTTCTCAATTGTGAATACAATCTTGAAATCCAGTAATCATGTTTACTGTAAAAGAAAGAGGGTCCTGAGAGTTTGGGCAATAACAGAGGGCTGGGCTTACCCTGGGACAAGCTGGAGAGACCCATATCATTTAGACGGACTTTTCATTTCTCAGGTGGAGCTTTGAGAAGAGAGAATGAAAGGTTTTCTAGAGAGAGAAAATTTTTAGAGATAGAGAAAGAAGAGTGTGTCTTTTATGTTCTACAGTGGTTCTTCATTTGCAACTGAAAAAAATGCAGAGTCCTTTTAACAGGAACAATCTTTTAGTTACTTAAGGGCTTGTTTAGTTCATACATAGAAAAGCACGCAGTGATTTTTTCTATGTGAAAGCTACACTTTCATGTTTGGTTGGGGTGAAGTGCTGGGTAAAATTGTCGTGTGGTAAATTATTTGGCCTTTTTTTCTTATGCCATTCTCCTCTCTCTCTCACATTCATTCTCGCTTCCATACTCTCTCTTAAGCCATTCCAAACACTACCATTCCATCCTTCCCACCGCCCAATTCCAAACCTTACCCACTCTCCCTCTCTCCACCTTCAAACAAAAACTGATTTTTTTCTTTTTTTGTGTTTATATTCACTTCGGGTATAGGCTTACGTAAATTTGTTCAATGGATGAGATTATCCATGAAAAATTAATATCTGGATCTAGGCTTTCTTATGCAGCAAAAACATCAAGTGAATTTAACAAAGTCGTGGCTGTAATTTGTGTGATCTCTACACTGCTACTGCTATTTTTCTGCAGCAGAAAAATCAGTAGTATGCTTTCGATTTCATAATATTTTCATAATCTTTGTAACACCAAACTCTATCTATTCATTTGTCTATGAATAGAGAATCATTTAGATTGAATAAGAGATCATTGGAGTTTTGGCATTATTGGGTCATTTTCTGTTGTTTTTGCAGCCAAGCAAAGCAATAGTGAAATATTCACTTTTATAAATCTAGTTTAAATCAAGTTGGGTCAAGTTTTATGTTGGGATTGTCTCATCTCTATGCAGCAATGCATTGGATGATTTGGTGTTGTTGTTTGTTCCTAAATTTATTTCTTTTCATGATTATTCATCAGAAATGTATACAATGAGATCATTTAGTTTTGATGTAGGGAGGTCACAATCATTGCTGACCATTAGATTTGAATTTCTCTTGTCACACTTTAGTCTATTGGATTTTACATCCGATAGCTAAAAGCGATTGTGACCTTCCTATGGCAAAAATAAATGGTCTCACTGGCCGAAAGGACGTGGATGCGGCGACTCTGAGCGAGTCAAATCGACGACGCACGACGGACAAGGCGAGGAGGAGAACATAGAATAAGAAAGAGGACCCAGGATGCCCAGTGCTCTCTGAACGAAAGGATTGCTCCAAGCAAGAAAGTTGTCTTCTCTAAAATAAGAGACATAGTGGTTTGGTTGTCTTGTCAGTCTTCTCTAAATAAGATAGAGAAATAGATGTTTGGTTGTCTTCTATCTATGGTCTTCTACTTACTCGATCGGTGTACTCCCTCGAGGATTCTATGATGGTCGGTGTACTTCCTCCCTATAGGAGTCATTAGGGATGCTCCTTAATGAAAGCAAAGGAGAGATGTTACTCACTAGGTAACAAAAGCAAGGGAATTGGTCTTTCGGTGGGTGTCCTCCCTCGAGGATCAGGGGTAGTAGCTCGGATTCGTCTTCGCCTTACTCATTCGGTTCCCTCACTCACGGCTCAGGGCTCAGAAAGCAGAAGCAGCTGCCTTCGAGTCTTCCTCATTTGGCGCGAGGAACTTGAAGGAGGCTTCCAAGGAAGTATAGTGAGTGATTAGGGACTCCGTGAAGCAATAAGCTATAACAAGAAAACAAAAAGAAAAGGAACAAGGAACCTTTCTACTAGAAAGCAACTGGTTGTCGTTGAATGTATTGGGCGAAGATAGGAATTCCCCTTGCTTTGTTTTCGCTCTGCTCGTGCGTGGCACTCCTTGCTTGTGGAGCGGCATACCGGAAAAAGAAGGATTGCCTTTATATATTGCCGTCACCGGACTATGAAAAAGGAGTCGAAGCCTTTCACTTTTTTCAGGGGGGTGCCTAATGAAAATTATAGAATGGTCTAGTATAGGCCTTTCGTGACTCAAACTGCTGCTACACTCTCCTACTACAACAGGCTTAGCCACTTAGTGGCGGTAAGCAAGCTATCTTGCATTGCATTCTAAAGCTCGAAGCTTAGCCAATTATTGCCTCTCTTATGCGCATAGATATGGTCTGGCGTTTTTGTTTGCCTGAACTTTTCTGCTCTTCTATTTTTGTATGTTATTTTCTTGTGAATTTGGAGTTGAGGTTCATACTCCGTATGAGCTAAATTTTATACATTACAAAACTAGAGTTTTACAATCTACTATGTGTTCGTTGATACAAATAGTAGGCAATTGATGACCTAATGTGGGCTGAATTTGAAACCATTGATCATACTCCTCTTTACTCAAGTTTATAACTTAATTTTCCTAATACTGTATATCTTCTTTGTTCAGTTAAGTAAACTATCTATTCCAACATTCACATGTATCTCCTTGTGTTAGAATCTTTGCCTTCTGTTGTGGTCTAATATATTGAGTTTCTACACATATTGTTTGATTTTGTCTAATTCAATGATTCAATATTGCATCACATGACTTTTTGGAATGTTTTAAACTTGGGAGACCAACGAAGGGGGGTTTTCAGAAAGGGTGGATGAATTTCTATCATAAACAGGCCTTGTTGGTCATTGCATTTATTTGAATGATGGATTGATTTGTTATGCATCAATGTCTTTTTTTATATGTATGATAATTTGTTGCATTTATTTGAATGATGGTTTGATTTTTATGCGTCAATGCTTTTCTGTAGTCTATATACTCTATTTGTTTTTTGCAATTGTTCCCTTTAGTCCATATACACTATTAACAATGTATATGTACCTCCATATACACTATTAACATTGTATATTGTGCATTTACACTGTTAATAGTTTATATGGACTATTAACAGTCCATGAACCTCACTTTCAAGTATGTATAGTCCATATATGCTGTTAATAGTGTATCACTGTATATAGACTGTTAATACTCGTAAACCTCACTCTCAAGTGTATACACTCAACATATATTGTTAACACTGTGTATGGATTGTATACATTGCTAACATTGTTTTAAATGCGGACCGCCCAACGCCTGGGTGGCTGCCTAGGCGCTCCAGAAGGCCTGGGGGCATCGCCTAGGCCTAGGCGGCCAAACTAGGCGGATATCCTTGGGAACCCGCCTAGGCGCCCGCCTGAACCTGCCTGGGCGCCTGCCCGGGCCGCCGCCGAGGGCCTGTGCCCTGCCCTGGGGCGGAAATGCGGCTCCTTGAGGGTATTTTTGGGTCATTTTTTTAATACTAAAAGGCAAAATTATGGGTTTTAGGTTCATTTGAAACCTAAAACCCGAGGCTATTTTAGAGAGAGAAAACCCCAAAACAAAATTTTTTTCTATTGGGCTGCCCAGGGTTTGGGTGCCCGCCTAAGCGCTGGGCAGCCTGGACCCCCCCCCCCCCGACCACCTAGGTGCTGCCCAGCGCTTTTGAAACACTTACGGCTAACAATGTATATGGACTAGTTAACAATGTATATACACATTGTTTAACAATTAGAATGAATTGTACTGTTTGGGCTGTCCATTCCATACTCACAGTTAACAATGTGTATAAACTGTTAACAATCAAACTGTCTATATGGATTGTCAACAGTCCATACACACTGTTAACACTGTATATGGGCGTATATGTACCATAAACACACTGTTAACAATGTGTGTGGACTGTTAACAGTGTTTGTGGACTGTTAACAGTGTATATGGACCGTCAGCAGTCCATATTCACTGTTAACTGTGTTATGAACTGTTAACAGTGCTTATCCAATGTTAACTGTTTTTATACACTATTACCTGTGTTGATGGACTTTTAATGTTCCATACACACTGTTAACAATTTGTATGGACCCTTAACAATCCATATATAGTGCATGGACTGTTAACAATGTAACAGTGTATATGGATGTATATGTACGGTTAACACACTGTTAACAATCTGCGTGGACTGTTAACAATGTATATGGACTATTAATGGTCCATATATACTGTGAACTTTAGTTATGGAGTATGAACTGTTAACAGTGTTTATCCTTTGTTAACTGTTTTTATGGACTGTTTAACTTTTTGATTTTTTTACACTGTTCACTGTGTAATGTTGTTGAGCGCACATTTGGTTTATAGAAGGTGCTGTTCCTAATATTAAAGAAGCAAATTCGCTATCCATTTCAAACTCAAGCTAGCATTGTCATTGCAACATGTATAGTACATAACTATATCAGGATGACAAGAGGTGGTCATTGATGAGGAGTCAAGGTTTGAAAACATTGCATTAGAATATGCTGATCAAATGCTGCAAGCGACCATATGTTATCAGGACAGGGATGACATCAATTCAAAGTCACACGATGAAATTGCTAATGCAATGTGGGAACCATAACGAAATAGTGTTCAGGATGTAGTAGTTGTGCCGGTTTCACGTTCTTTTTTTTTTTTTATTGCACTTTTTCAACTTGTACATCTTTCATGGATTTTAAGGGTGGATATGGACATGGCATGTTTAAGATGTAGTTATGCTTTCGGAATTGAAGACTTTTAATAGATTTTGTACTTCAAATATTTCTTTATTAATCTTTAAGAGAGAGAGAGATCTCAAAATATTCTTTGATTATTTAACCAAGGCATGGTGCTTGTATAATTTAATAAAGTAAATCAAACTTATGATCTAAACTATCGTTTTTTTTAAACATAACATAAATCGATTGTTTTCAAGAAATCGTCTTAATTGGATGGACGTTGATATCCAATTATCAGCATTGAATTAAAAAAACAGGTATTAATCCAGATTCCAGGAGACAATTTATTAAATAGGTTACTGAACATAAGAAACTGGTTAATTAGGAATTCCAAACATGTGAACCGAACATGGAAAAAGACATGAATGAATAATTCTTTCATAGCAAATTGTTTTAATAGGAAAATTGGTTTACATATGCAGACTTTTTCGTATGAACCAAACCGGCCCTTAGGGTGTAAAATTGGCTTGTGTTTCTTTGAATTGTCAATGTTGCTTTTTGTTTTGGTTTTATTTGCTTAGGTATGGTGTGTTGGTGACGGGTTTGAAGGAAAGGTTATGTTTATTGCTTAATTCATGTCTTACCTTATTATTGAACCTCAAATTTATGCTCTGATTTTGTTTTTATTGTACATATTATTTCTTAATTTGTTTATTTACTTGCAGTTGGAGCACATTGCATATGGTAGTAAAATAGTTACAAAGGTGTGTTGTAATTGTTCATTTTGCCAAATGTTGTAATGATAGACCAATGATATGTAGACCTTTTTATCTCAACAACAGTGGAGACCAGCTTGAACACCATCAAGTTTTATGGATGGACGGTGTTGGAGGGATAGCGAGGCTGACCAAGACGTAAAGGACCTGAAGTGGTGGTCTACCTCTCTCGCCAACAATATCCATCCATTGAGTCAATGGTGGTAGGCTGGTTTCAACCCTTGTTTCGGTATATTTGGATCTAGGTTATCATCCCTATAGACTAATATATGTTTTGTACTTATGAAACAGAAATAGAATGTTAATAAGGTTGTATTTATATACTAATTGTGTACTTGTTTTAGCAGGGTCTACAATCTGGCATAGGAGGTATCGGAAAAAATAAAAACAGGTGTGTAACTCTCTCCTCTCCCAATAGAGACTCTAACTCTCTTCTTATCAACAAGATAAGGGCTTCCTTGCTACAAACCGTACCGTATACAAACCGTATGACCTTGTCCCTCGATCAAATTGTTAGGGCCCACATATCCTTCAATTTAGCCCCCACGATTTCTATATTCTTTCACTTTTTCTCATTTAATATGCTTACTTTTTTCCTTTTTGATAATTCATAGGTTAATGGGTAGTGGTGTGCTAAATTATTTATGTTGGCTTTGTGAAGGTATCTTGGCTGCTTGTGAATCTCTCTATCTATTATGGTTTTGTCCCCACTTTATTATCAGCAGCTATGGCTAATTTACTCAATGATTTCTTAAAAGCTTTAGGTTATGTTTATGGTTTAGCATGGCATGAATATTTGTTTCTCTTTTATTGAAGTACGAGTTCAAGTAATGAATGTTTGTTTCTCTATATCTCTCATAATGGTTCTTTACAAAGTAGTAGCAGCGGTAGTTAGTAGTAGTACTAAAAATAGTTGGAGAATATTTGTGGTGACAACAACAAAAAAAAAAAGCAATATAAATTGGAAAAAGTTTATATAGAGCCTAGGTTCTAAACTATCAAATAAGAGCCTACATCAAAAATTTCACTAGAAGAGGTTATTTTAATGCCTAAATATCCTCAAATTGATCATCTTGACATCAAGATGCATTAACATTAAAGAAAATGGATTCAAGTTTTGAAAATAGGGCGTCTTGTAATGCATTTTTGGATCGTGAATTTTCAAGATTTTCAAGTTTCCATAGATTTGCTAGATCTACACTATGTTTGAAGTTTTAAATTTTATAATTAGAGATGAAAATTTATTTGAAGGCTATCATAAAGATTTCCAGTATTGAAACCACATTTCTCGATACTATTTGAAGGTGGGCAATGTTCGAAAATTCGGCCACCCGACCGCCTAGGCGAAAAAAGTTTTTGCTGTCTGGGCGGGTACATTAGGCGTTTTTGCTTTTGGGGGCCTGCCTAGGTGGTCTAGGTGGCCCCTAGGCTCTATTTTTTGGTCGCCCTGTGACAACTTGTGGGCGGCAGAAAAAACCCTCGGGTGAAGGTAAAATACGTAATTCCTCCCCCCCCCCCTCATAAACAGGGGGGAGAGGGTTTTAGGGGTATTCTAAACCCCCAATAGAAAGATCTTTACCTGATGAACATGTCTCTAAAAGAGGTGATTCTTAGAAGCTCATCTGACATTAGCAACAATATACTCTTCATTTGGTGGCAAGATATATTGGACAAGGTTCGCATGTACTATTTTTTTGATATGCATTATTTTTGTATGAGGCAAGCGGTTTATGAATATTAATCATCCAAGAGTTGCTTGAGAAGCCCTTATGATACATAGAGGGGTCGGGTGACATAAGTCTTCTCAAACACATCCTTGTTGATTCTTTCAAATTGATTGTTTAGCAAGTTACATGCAGTCAAATCTGCTCGTAATGTGAAACGAGACACAAAAGAAGTATTGGAGCCATTAAATTGTTTTTAAACGCGAGACATTTTTTAAAGGAGGAAGTAAAAGGGAGCTAAAATATGTGGTTTAATTTTACTCCATTGTCTGACGAAATCTCTTATCTTTTTTTTCTTTGTTTCTTACAGCTTGGAGACAACTCTACGGAGCGGAGCTTTTAGTATTTGACCACTGGGATTGCATTATGTTGGGCATCAACAATAAGAAATATTACATAAACATTATAGAAATGAGGCCAAACTTCAACTATTTGTATTGTTGACACAGACTGTGAATTGGAATCCAATTATGATCCATGTGAAGTGGATTTTGTATTACTTGATCCAATTATGATCTTTATTATGCATTTTATCCAAATGTTCTTTTACTGGAATATTTTTTAGAGTCCCAACTGTTGTAAACGATTTATGCATCCTATCTAAACGATTCATAGTAAGAATTTAAGGAAAACTTGTATCATTTATTGATTATCAATAGAAAGTAAATCATTTCTTCGCTCTTATCCACTCTTATCCAATGTGGTCTGATCATATGATGAGTGATTGTGTATGCTAGATTAAGTAAAACTTACTGCAGTGTTTTCAAATGAACGGAGCTTTTTATGTTTGTTAGTAGGCCGTAGTCACCGGGCTCCAAACTTCGAATCACCATTTTTTATCGATCGATGAATTGAATAAAAACTCGACGCCTACATTAAAATTCACTCTGCTTTAAATTTGCCCATCTATGTTTGATTCTTGTGAGATAGGTCTCTGATTTCAGTGGATCATAATTTTAGACGTTATACTCTGGATTCCATTTGTTAGCCTTTGGTATCTAATTGGATCATAATTTTAGACGTTATACTCTGGACTTCATTTGTTACCTTTTGAACTACACCATTACTGTGGAATACGAAGTGGTACCCATTTATGTAGGTTTGTAGTTACTAAGTTAGGAAATAACAATAGGAATTATGCTGCCGAGCTCGCCTATGTAGAAATGCAGGCCTCTTAATAAATCTATTTTTGAGATGGATTTTAAGACTTAATTTATAAGGACATATAATCTCTAACTTGGAGATCATGAATATGAAAAAATAAATAAATTTTAAAAATTAAAAGTAATAATTCTAGTAAGAAAATATTTGGACTGTTAGTTTCCATTGTTTTTAGATGGAACACCTACTTGCATCCATATTTAAGATAGATGCTTTATACTTTCCGGACCCATATGTAGAAATGCGCTCCAGCCCACATGAAACAATTTTGCATAGTAGAAAATTGAGAATAAGTTAGTTTTGGTTTAGAAAATTAACAACAAATTGGTAATAAGTTAGTTTTGGTTTAGAAAATTAACAACAAAAAGATGGGGCTATAGGGTTTGCCAAAAATTAGGTAAGTTAAAAAAAAAAAAAAATTTAAAAAATGTAGTAAAATTTTTGATGTGCGTACATGACAAAATAAAATATGGGTGTGACCTGAATCACTTTTTCTTACATTGTCAACTAGCAATTGGGGGAATGCAATTTTTGGGGAATATCAAAGAAGGTTTTTTTTTAGAATTTGTTTTTGAATTATAAAATACGTGCTGATTTTGGAGTTTTTAATAAATTCCAAAAAAATAAAAAATTCTTTGAAGTAATTGTGTTTTAATCTGTATGGGCTAGAATTCCTAAGATCCTTGGATATGATTGGTCCAAAATGAATGCATAATCTCGTGGAAAATTTATCTTCTTTTGCTAGAAGATAGGTTTTAATTTTAAAGTTGCGTGATTTGATTTGGTTTAATTTCTAAATATTTAATAAAACTCATGGGTATATGAGATAAGAAATTAGTTTATATTTGGTTAAGTAATAGATTTATTTCCTCTCTCATCTCTAAGTTAATATAAAAGGGGCTAGTAGGTCAGAGGGAGCTTTCTACGTGACCCCACCCACATATGTGAATCTTGGTCTCAGCCGTCAGATATGAGTAGATGGCTAAGGTGGCTTGAGTCGCAACGTGACAAGCTAGCTGTTAACTATCAGATCTTGATAAGGGATCATAGCTATTTATTTTTTATTTTTATTCTACAAATAATTTTGAAGCAAAATTTGGGGCAAGAGTAAATTTGACAGGGGCACGCATGATAAAAATAATAAAAGTATTTCTGATCATGAAAAATTATCAGAATACCACTAAAAATGTAGGGATGCCCAAAATTTCATCCGAAGTGTTTTGTAATAAATAAATAAATAGATAGTGTTTGGCATGAACAATAGTAGGTGTTCGATGCAAATCGAACGGCTAAGAAGTTGAGTCACATATAACTTACATGTTGTTGGGTTCACATAGAAATATATCCCAGTAGGTCAGGGTTCCAAGAAGAGGGCTAAGTGATTTTATGGGCAGCGTCATTTTATATTAATTGTATAAAAATTCCAGCTGGGTTTTCCCATTATTATTTTTATGTTTATGTGGGCGACTTGCATTCATTCTTGATTTGGTTTGGCCAACCGTATTCTTATTTATTTGGAAAAATTATAGATACCCCTATTCATGCCTTGTAATCAATGCCTACCCTCCGCACCTTTTAATTCACACCACCACTAACTTTAGTACTATTTATTATTGTTTCTAATTCCCAAATAAGAAATTAGCGTTTTTAAGAAGAAAATACCCACCCATTATGTATAAACCCATATTCATTCTCATCTCTTCGCTCTCTTAAGGATTTTAATATTTTTAGAGACTTTCTTTCTAGAAACTTGAAATTTGAAATAATTTATATATTTAATTTTTTTGATATAATTTATGATGCAGAAACTTTAAGGGAATAGCAAAATCAGCAAGGAACAAAGCTACATATACGCATGATACAAATAAACCTAATGTCTCTTCTCTACACCTAAGCTAGAGTTGCAAAAGCATAAGCTTTTCGTTCTCTTTCAATTGCTAAAAATCATGTGGAATAATCCCTTTAAAGCCTAATACTCCTCTTATATATTATAATTTAATGTTTAAAGTACAAAAAGTATCCAAACATACCATATATCCTAACTTAAACTTAAAATTAATAATAATAGTATCCAAACATACCATATATCCAAACTTAAACTTAATCCATCATTCTCCCTTATTTGGAGAAAACTCGTCTTCGGGTTTAGAAGTGTGCTAAAATGAATTCAACATCAAAATCACAAATTTCAACGTTCTTTTTCTTAATTGGTTCAAATATTGTTCGTGCTAAAAATAATTCCCAGAGAAATGGATCTCGGTGTGTATATGGAGGAATCGGTGCAACTTTTTCTAGTCTTTAGAGGTTTTCTAGACATCCATTTCTACTTTCTGAAATCAAGGCCACAATTTGTGGTTTATGAGTTGACCACGTTTCAATTACATTACCCTGATTTCAATACCCTAAATTTCTTGAAAGTTCTACTTCTTCATTATTAATGAGATCTTCAAAAGCCATGATTTGGATCAGTCCTCTTGCCGCCTTCTCTCTAGATTCTTCACCCTCTCCCAAAATATCTTCATCATCATTTCGATCTTTCTCATAGATTAGAGGTCATAAGAGATTTTGTTGTTCATCTGAGTATATCAAAGATTGATGGTGAATCTTAATCTACAATTAGTTGATTTCTGATGCTATCGGTATCAAAATCAATAATCTCATCCTTCAAATCGAAAACCATAAAGTGATGTTCTCCAAGTCTAGGTCTTCTATCGTTATCCTCAATACATGATTCCACACACGGTATACAAAATTGAAAAAGCTTGTACTCGATATCCTTTTGGGTTGACAGATCACCATTGTCTTGCTCATTATTAAAGCTCGCGAATTACTACAACAACTATTGAATTTGCCTTTCAAGTTCATCGATTATGTCATTTCTGAGATCATAGAGTGGTATGAAACCTCCCCTTGCATAGCCGCTTCTTGTCACCATGAGAATCATCGAAATCACAAACTCTAAGCAAGTGATCAATAAAACAGTTGAAATTAGCAAGATCTAGGCTTTGTTGTTGATCTAGGGTACAAAAATCAACGCTACAGTACCATCCGTATACTACTACAGTAACTTCCATACACTACAATAACAACTTCTTTACACTGCTATAGTACCTTTCATGTAGATTGCAGATTCTGATACCAATTTGATGCAAAAAATTTTGATAGAACAGTAAAAATCAACAAGGAATAAACCAAACACAAACATAATTAAAAAAAATCAAGGGTATCATCTCCAAATCCAAGTGAGTGATGCAAAAGCCTAAGTTTTTATTTCTCTTTTAATTTCTAAAAATCATGTGGAATGACACCGTTAAAGCTCACACACCTCTTATATATTATAATTTAAGATTTCAAGTACAGAAATTTTAAAAATAAATAATACATTGAACCATAATCATAATTTAAACTTAAAATTTATGATGACAAATTTACCCATGTGAGCAGTACTCGTGAACAGTAATTATGAATAATACTCATAAATTAAATAAAAAACAAAAGCTCTAGAATCTCTAAAAAACTAAACAACTTAGAAATAAACTCTAAAATGATAATATAGATCCTTCACAATTGAATAAAAATTTAAAATAAAAATAATTTTGCCCTCCATCAATTTCTTTCTCTAAAAAAAGTGAGATACCTTCTCACTTTAAAACTTGAAATTTGAGATATTTTATCTTTCTAAAAATTTCAAGATAATTTGTTTCTCTAGAAATTCAACATTTGAGATAGTTTATCTCTCTAAAAATTTTGAGATAGTTTCTTTTTAAAATTTCAAATTTCAAATTTCAATTTGTTAGAGAAAGAAAGAGGGAAACTATCTTAAATACATGAGGGTATTCTCGTCCTAACAGTTGCTTCTTTACTTTGGGGATGGATGCAAAAATAAATATCACTGAGTTTAGTGGCATGATATAAAAAATATTAGAGGGTGGCATCCCTAGAAAGTGTGGTCATGGAGGGTCCTTATGCAGATATATCTCTCTTATAACTCAAAATTGCAATTTTCATTGGGATAAGTTCATTTTCACTTACCGTGGCCATGGATAGAGTATTTTTGGGGTGAACTATGTAAATTGTGTACCTTTGTAGTATGTATTTTATATCTTCTTTATTTTTATTTTATTTTTGAATGTTAACTATTACTGTCATTAAATAAAGGGCACGGTTTGTATAGAACCTAGGCTCTAAACAATTAAATTAGAGCCTACCCTCAAATAGTGTCAAGAAATGTGGTTTCAATATTGGAAATCTTTGTTATAGCCTTAAAATATATTTTATCTTTATTTATAAAGTTTAAAGGTTAAAATGGTGTAGATTGACAGATCTATGAAAACTTAAAAATCTTGAAAATTGATGGTCCAAAAATGCGTTATGAAATACAATATTTTCAAAACTCAAAATCCAAATTTTTTCTCATGTCCATGCATCTTGATATTGAGATGATCAATTTGAGGATATTTGGGCATCAAAACAACCTCTTCTAGTAAAATTTTTGAGGTAAGCTTTAATTTAATTGTTTAG